GGGCCCGGGAGAGCCGGGCCCCTGAGCTGGGCAGCTGCGGGCGGCTGCCTCAGCCGCGTTGGAGCGTTTGGATTTTGATGAAATATTTTTAAATACCAAAAGAAATTTTGTTTGTTTTTTTTAAAACATATTTTGGTTCAGTCCCCAGTCAGGGGCTGGTACGGAGGCGACTGATGGCGGTTTCTTGCATCGATGTCTCTTCTCCCCCTCCCTCTCGGTCGCTGTGAAATGGGGGTGGGTGGCGGCCCCTGGGGACCCGTCTCCCAGGCCGGCTGGGCTGCGTCCGGCGCTCTCAGACCTGTGGCCGGGGAACAGGTGGCAGCCCCTCCAAGCTGCCGGGACCCGGTCATGACAGCCCGGAGGGCACTGGGGGCAGTGCCAGCTCACGGAGCCCTTTTCCCGTTCCCAGTGCCGACGAGCGATTTGACGCCACCTTCCACACCAATGTGCTAGTGAACTCCTCCGGGCACTGCCAGTACCTCCCTCCAGGTGAGGCTGCATCCTCGGTTCTCCTACAGCGACAAGCTGAGTGAGGGGTGTTCGTCCTGCCTCTGCTCCCACGAGCTGGGAGCTAGTCCTGAGCTCTGGGCAGGGGCCGCCCCCCAGGTGTTGCTCCCCAGATGTTGCTCTCCAGATGCCGCCCTCCCTGTGGTGAATGATGCTCCAGTGAACACGGGGTAGTTGTTTTGTTTCCTCTGGCTACGTACCCAGAAGCGGGACTGCCGGGTCACGTGGTAGTTCTGTTTTTAAGTTCTTGAGGAGCCTCCCTACTCTTTCCACAAAGGCGGCACCCATGCCCAGTCCTGCCGGCCGGCAGGGCGCGGCTGCTGTGGGTTCCGCACACACCTCACCAGCTCCGCTGACGGTGCCGTGGCCCCCGCAGGCATCTTCAAGAGCTCCTGCTACATCGACGTGCGCTGGTTCCCCTTCGACGTGCAGCAGTGCAAACTCAAGTTTGGGTCCTGGTCGAGCGAGGGTGGCTTGTCACGGTCTCCCCTGGACGGAGGCCAGGCCCCGCTGGTGTTGGTGGTCAGCAGCCTGGGCCCGGGAGAGCTGGGCCCCTGAGCTGTGCAGCTGCGGGCGGCTGCCTCAGCCGCGTTGGAGCGTTTGGATTTTGATGAAATATTTTTAAATACCAAAGGAAATTTTATTTGTTTTTTTTAAACATATTTTGGTTCAGTCCCCAGTCAGGGGCTGGTATGAAGGTGACCGATGGCGGTTTCTCGCATCGATGTCTCTTCTCCCCCTCCCTCTTGGTCGCTGTGGAATGGGGGTGGGTGGCGGC